ACAAACGATAAGTGGAACACTCAGATGAGTTCAGTTTGATCCATAAACCATATGCGATCATTTATTTACATAAATTAAACAAATCATGAGTGACCTTAATTGTGGCTAATCAGTTTCCTATAACAAGCTTTCAGAATTAATAAGATATAAATCTGCATCCGAATTCAATCAATATCAACTCAAATTACTTATAARAGAACAGTAAAATGTCAGTTCTGATGTTAAATAAACCAAACATTTACTGGCACATTAACTTAAGATTCTGGCAAGGCAAATACATAGTAACAACAAAATGAGGAAAAGTAAGGTTAGTAAATTTTACTGCTTTTACTTTTTACCAAAATTTGAGTCAACCGGATCTGCACTCCTTTTCTCAACCCAGCTTCCGCCGGACACGGTCACCAAAACACTTTAGCCTTTTTACCTTGAGATGACTTCTCGGACACCTTCTGAGTAGCAAGACTGGCCACCTCTGAAGACTTTGTCATCCGCTCACCTTTCATTGATAAAACACGTGTTATTTCTCCGGTAACCTTCTGCATCTGCCTCAGTTCTGAGCCAGAAAAATCAAGCTGAATCCGGTTTCTCCTTCAAAATAAAATCACCACGGAAGGGAAAAATAATTGCTTTGGAGGTTTTGAAACCTCGTATGGGGATCCGACAGGCTTGTTCAACCCCTGGTTGTAAAAATCCACTCTTTGGCGCTTGAGTTGGATTTTCAGCTCACAAGCTAAGTTCCTCCGAAGAGGAGAAACAACTTCTTCCTTGTTGAGTTAGGAAGTCAGAGTGTTTRACTCAAAGRTGTCCGGGTTAGTAATAAGAGCGGAACTTTGGTTCCCGCCTCTAGGCGTAAAGATGAGTCAGAGAAAAGGAAAGTTAAGAAACTCGCCAGGCGCCAGTCAAGGTTACTCTGWATGGTTGGGCAAATAAASAAACATGACAACCTAGTTTTTAYCTTCCTTCTGATAGACTSTAAATGAAATCACTGAAAAACATTTTATGATGATTAGCTGTAACATTTCTGTTCATAATCAACTCATTTTCTTAGTTTAGATAAATGAAAGATTTTCTTAAGAAAAATCCACTATTATATTACTGTGTTGACAGTAAAATAAAAAGTGATTTGCATTAAAACACAATGAAAACATTGTAATCAGATTTTCTGTGATTTTTTATACCACTATAAATCTTTAAGGCACAATAAGAGAAAAGATGTTGTTCTACTTTTCATGTGACAGTCATTATCATTGATTTAACAAATACATAAACATTCTTAGTTAAACGACAAATGAATCACGAACAAAGGAGATTGTTCTGTCCATTATCTGATTAAGAGAAGAGTGTTCTCTTCTCCAGTTASAACAACCTGTCTTTGGCCTAAATAAAGTTCAGAGTGGAACAGAGTTCCTGTCTTCTTTTCAGGCCCGTCCGAGGCCTGCTATTAAAGCAGAAAATCTTGTTTCCTCACTCGAGGTGACCCCTACACCGTTGAAGGTGTCGGCTCTAAATGAGGAGATCTGGTTGTTTGTGTATCCATGCTGTGTAACATTCGTGTAAATTAAACAGAAGATGAGTCTCTTATTCTAGCAGAAACAAGTACAGTAGGTGTGTGTCGGCAGCTCAGCCCTGAAGCCTCAGAATGACTGAAGTTGCCTTTAGCAGAGGAGGAAGCAGGTTGTGCAGTGTTGTCAGTGTCAGCATGTCTCTGTGGCAGGAAGGCCAAGATAGGTTTGAAGCAGCGGCTGCAGTGAYCCTGAGCTGCTGACTGACAGGTGAGCTCAATCTATTTTTTTTTGTAGCAGCTTTGGCCAGAATGTGTTGAGGACAAAAAGTAATAGAAAAGAAGTAACACATAATAATAACATCCAAGAAACTGGTGAATCTGAATTAAAAGGTGATGCGTGTAAATCTTGTATACTGCAGGATGTACTGCAGGGCAAAGGGAGAAGAGGCTTTATCAGGAGAAAAAGACTGATTTGCACTTGTTTCATTTTGTCACTTTGTACATATTGTTCAGCAGCTGACAGATGAGCACAGTCAACAGAATCTGAGCATTGAGTCACAGGAGAACTGTCAAGAGAAACAAAAGAAGCCCGCCAGCAGCTGTGGTCAGACCTGCACCCACTGAGCTGCAGTCTCTCATCATACAAGATCCTCATTTGCATTTCCTGTAGAGAAGAATAAAACCACAATCAGTGTAGAACGTAGGAAGAAACCACGCAACATTGCAAAGAAAAACGACTCTCTCCACCACCCACCAGACTACACACAGGGTATCACAACTGCTGCCAGAAATCTTCAGGCGCCATATGGTCTCCTAATATCTGTAAAGCCAAGCATGATGAGCTCCTCCTTGATCAGATGACAGAATGTGGAGGAAGATTACCAACTATTAGCATGCGTCAGGCTTTTTTGGTTTCATAGCCTTGAATCAAATCTCATTATATAAACAGGCCCAGGGGTTAATGAGGAGAAATGTCTCTCAAGCTGTATCACCACCCCTCCCTCTGTACTCTGTCACACTGCAGGCTGCATTTAAATGCTGAAAGCACATTAACATTACACTGTCAGTGGCATGAAAAGCAACAATATATAGCTGATTTTTAAATGCTTTTGAGCTTTAACCTTTATTTTAAAAAGAATACTGATTTTCTTGAGGTTGCACAATCAAAACACTCAGGACTTTATGAGAGATCCTGTTTTAAGTAGTGTCTCCACTGCTGGCCACTGTTAAAGAGTTAATGTACAGAACTCATGAGGAGTCTCCAAAATGTCTTCAAATGTTTGCTGTGGTTCTTCATGCCCTTGTGAGACACTCAGTCCTGTTGCTTGAATTTTAAACATCTAAAAGATTTGTGTGGTCATTTCGACTTAAAATAGTAACATAATCAAAAAAGTAAAATATCAAAATGTCAAATATCCACACTAAAATCATCTCTGATGATAAATAGATAGTTCAGCTGATTAATATTAAATAGGGAGCCATCTGCCAAGGTGCAGGTTACAGTGTGGGCAGAGGTGACCAATCAAATGCAGACCAGGAAGAGTCTGCAAGCCAAACATACAAAAATGTCCATCATTTATAAAATCTTGGTGCATAGCTTGCTGGTTGCCTGGTCACAAACATTTAACATTCAGAGAGAATGCAAAGAGAAAATCCACTTATTTTCACACAGTTGTAATTCACCTCTGAATATTCTGTAACAGTTGCAGTTGAGAGGGACAGCTGCCACCAAGGTTTCGTCCCGGTATTTCATTCATTGTTTTACAATTCACACTCCAGTCCAACAGGTGCCAATGTTAACAAATTGGATTGTTAACTGTTGATGTAAAAGAAAAAAGTCCATGTAGTTAATATTATAAAACAAGATGGCTGAGGGATGAGCCCACAGCTACATGAACTGTTCATGCCCAACTAGAGAACACTTAGGTTCTGGTGTAGTGATGGCGCAGAGGTTAGAGAAGGTGTTCCTGTGATCGGAAGACCGCTGGTTCAACTCCCTGGATTGACCAGCCCCAGTTTAGGCCCTTGAGCAAGGCCCTTAACCCCTCAGCTGCTCCCCAGGCACCTCAAATAATGGCAGCCCACTGCTCCACATGTGTGTGCTCAGTGCTCACATGGGCAATGGGTGAAAAGCAGAGAATTCTTAAATTTCCCCAAGGAGATCAATAAAGTATCTATCTGTCTGTATGTCTATCTATCTGAACTTACCACCAACACAATGAATAAGTAGCTTAATGAGTGTCCTAGCCAGTCTTCAGACTTCAGTCCTCAAAAAATTCATGGAAGAACCTGGAACTACCAAGTTACCAAGCAACACCCCAGAAACATAAAGGATTTAAAGTTTCTATAGAGAAGAGTGGACCAAAATCCCCCCAGAAATGTCAACAAACTCGGTGATCAATCAAAAACCATCTTACAGCAAAGATTTTTCCATTGAGTACCGTCAGGTTTTTCTTTAGGATCAAATATGTACATTCCACTCAATGAGATGAAAATCAATACTTAACTTTTAAATTAGCCTATGGATTTTTCTGAAATTTTAATTGATATTGTCTTCCCTTTTTAAAACTAAAACTATGAGAACTAGATAGAGCTGGTCGGTATGACCCAAATTTTATATCACAGTATTTTCAACAGTTACACCGGTTTCACGGTATTTGACGGTATTTTTTCCCCTCACAGCTCAGCTGATAATAAAATTTACAAACTTTGTTTATTGACTTTTTTCTTTTACTGTACCTCTGTATCACTGTTTCCCTCCTCGTGTACATCTTTTCTTCTTTGCCTGGTTGTAGACAGTAATCATGCATTTAGGTCTGATCGTGAAGGGTTGAGAAAAAATCATTTTCTGGTCTATCGTTGCGTGTTAATAAAACTTAAAAGGATGGCTCACCTTGCACACCAGTCAGCTCCGCTACACTACAAAACTACTTCCCCCCGGGCTTTTCACAATAGAAGCATGCTGGAGTCTCCATGCAATAACGTCTCCATTATAACGTATCGCGTTAAATCTAACCGTGCACGTCACTGAAGAGTTGTTTACTATTCAGCAATGGTGAAAACAGAATTTTTTTTACGTCAGACCATATAAGTAGCTGAAACACCACCCGCCGCCAGTTGTTCCAACAATAACGTTAGCATGCTAATGCGCTTAGCGGTGTTATGAAGAAACGTGTCCCCAGGGAAACAGTTCACTGGCGGCCGCGATGAAACGTTCCGCACGTGTTCAGGCTATTTAAACCGGTATTCAGAAAAGTCACATCATTACAAAAATAAAAACCGGTTTTCGGTACAAAACGGTATACCCCCCAGCACTAGAACTAGCCAAGTTTTGTCTTTAATTGGTCTGTTTTACAATTCCCCTGATCATCAACAGTAGCATCTGTGTTTCACTGCCTCCTGGCATTTTCTGGCTCTTAAAAACTATTTCTGTTCTCCCTCTCAGTGTGAACGCCAACCAGTGCCTGATACAGTTGTATTTATTCTCATGCTACAGTGGATGGAGGCTGGAATGAGTGGAGTGAGTGGACCGTGTGCAGCAGCCAGTGTGAGAGGCAGCGAATTCGGGGGTGCAGCTCCCCAGCACCCAGGCACCAAGGCAGAACGTGCGAAGGAAACAGCGAGGCCACTGAGAACTGCACAGATGGACTGTGTACCCAGAGTAAGGCCTTTCTCTCCTCTGGGTATCATCATCATTTTCATACTTGTCTTGTTGCTATCATTATCATATGTCCACTCACTATGACAGCTGCAGATCATAGTGAGCATGTTTGAACAGCAATTAGGTGTTAAAATAATATAAAAATCCTATCGTGGAAAAACACAAGACTCCTGGTTCAGTTTGTCAGCTGTGTTTATCTTCTCGCTTGGCCTTTTGTTGGTCATAGTAAGTCTGTCACAGACYTGCAGGTGTTCACTTTTGTTTTTTWCCAGAGTCATAAATTACACGAGGAGTGTTTCTCCCTACAACAAATAGCATTTTTGCAGACATGTCGTGTGAATTATCAGCACTGACTGACTTTGGAAATTTGTTGAAGCTAAAACAGAGTTGCTAAAGTTAAAATAATCAAAATAAAAYCAAATGTTCACTTAATAAAATGGTTTGGGTGTGGCTGAGGGTGATCAGCCTCTCTGTTTGCACATGGTTAGCTCTAAATCACACATACATGATCGGATCTGCACCAAATTTGGTGTGCACCATCATGGAGACCTGCTGAACACCTTATATGTTAGTTTGATGAGATCACTTTAGTCCCACCCACTTAGCACACGATTGGCTCTTAACCACATATACATGAATCAATCTGCACCAAATTTGATGTGGGAGACCTGCTCAACATGTTTGTGTAGTGGTTTGACAGATCACTTTAGGCCCCCATCTGTCCGTCTGTTCACCTTATGGATTATTATTATTATTTATTTTTTTTTTTGGATGGCCTCCCTTCTCCCCTTATAGCCATCCCCTCCACACCATTATGTTTATTTTTATTTTTNTTCAAAATCCTACACTTTACTAGCAAAAATATTCAAAAAACTAATTTTATCAAAGATTTTTAAGGTTATTCCAAATCAGAGGTTGTTCATCAGTTCAAATCTAAAAAATGTGTGCTCCGTTTGCTCTAAAAAACAACGAGTTAACATGGGTAACAACTTCAGAACAACTTCTTCAGTTTGTCTCAAAACTGTGCTTCATTCGTTCTGAACACAAAATAAGTTCTTGTCTCAAAAGTGTACTTGAAAGTTTGCCATAACATAAACTGTTGATTCATCATGGCCCTGTTATTGGCTTGGTTAGGTAAGAACCCCAGATGCAGGACTGAGTGAGGTGGAAAAAATATTTAATAAAATGAAAACAAGAGGCTGACGTGGCAGCAAACTAAATACAAAAATTGACTTTGGCTTGAAGCAAGAACTTGAACATCTAACAGAACACATAAACAGTTAACAAGGATCTGACAAACACTGAAGACACTGAACAGATATAAAGGGAAAATTAGTGAGCTAAAACAAGAAACACCTGGGGAAGATACTTGAGGATCAGGTGTGAGTGGGCGGGGCTGGAGCGCAGGCAGACAGGAGGAAGAAAACAGATGACAAGACAGAAAACTAGAACAAAACATTAACAGACACCAATCATAACAGAGCCCCCCCCCCCCCCCCAAAATAAGGGACGGCTCCTTATGTCCCAAACCAAAAGTTCAGGAGGCTGGCCATGAACCTCCCTTCCATAGAGGCCAAAGTCAGGAGGATGACCTGGAGATCCCCACTCCATGTCAGTTGAGGCCACAGGAGCTGAGCAGAGCCAGAGGGAGGAGGCAGGAGCAGATGTGGAGCCAAGGGAGGAGGCGGGAGCTAATGAGGAACCGGCGGAGGTTGAGGGAGACAGAGCCTTGGCGATGGTGACCAAAGGTGACAGAGGAGACGAAGAGGCGACGGCAGCCGAACCAGGTGACATGGAGGCGATAGCCGATGACCCTAATGAGCTAAAACAAGAAACACCTGGGGAAGATACATGAGGATCAGGTGTAAGTGGGCGGGGCTGGAGCACAGGTAGACAGGAGGAAGAAAACAGATAAGACAGAAAACTAGAACAAAACATTAAACACAGACACAAATCATACTGTTTGGAAAGATTAGACCTCTGATATGTTTCAGTTCTGACACCCTCACCCCTGAACTTTGGTGTGAATTTTGTAATTTAATCTCTGATCTGCTACATTACAAAATCCAGCAGTTCCATTTTGGGTTTAGTTTTACCATTTTCACTTAAAAGCCAATGCAGAAATATGAGTTAATTAAGAACCCAGCATTTCTTCAGGAATGTACATCACCCACCACCTTACATGCCTGATCATCTTTTGTTGAGAAATTACAGAGCAGTGGGCCGCTTTAGGTAAAACATGGAGGATGTCATGCAAAACCTCCATGTTGCAACCTCCATGTTGCAAGTTCTCACAAAAAAATGTGTCAGACTATGTGTTGAGGACGACTGTCAGCTACTACCGCACCCAGTTTTACCTCAATAAACTGAATGAGTCCCAGCCATTTTTGTGTTTGTTAAAGTTTGGTCAGTGTTGGTAGTTATCGAAAAGTGGACACTTGAAGTAAATCATTTGTGAATTTACATCAAATAATTTTATTCAGTGGTTGAAGCAATATTTTGTTATTAAACACCAACATCATACCTGGCAATACATATGGCACAAGCTGTGTGCTTAAAGAGTCTGCCTGACAAGTGGGACAATAAACTAGTCTGAAGAGGATCTGGACACAACAGTAATTGCTAATATTTTATGTCATATGTGTTTTCAAAAATAAATGGCAGATGAGGTGGATTTTATCTTGTTAGAAAAAGAAGGAAATAAATTCAAATTCCTAAAATATTGCATTGATCAATCTGTAACTATAGTTTATTATTTGTCAAATAAGATTCAAACTGTTTGCATGAAAATGTCTTCTAACAATTTTTCTAGTCTAGGTGCTCCAGCGCACATTGTGTGTGCTCATATGTTCCAGTGTCTATGCACACAGCGCCTTCAATGTGGTGAAAGTTATCCCAATCTCCTGTTAGCTGTAGGACACTTGATTAAAAGTTGTATTAGAAAAATGAGACACTGCTTTCCCATGAATAGAGGCCATCTTAAAATCTTTATTAAATCAAAATGCAAATATGGAACAAACTTCCTGTTGTACAAAAAGTTGAACTAATTTTACTTTCCACACAATGAATCAGGCAGACTTCTTTGCTACACATGAAATCTCTTCATCCTGACATCAGCTTCAGACATATCCATGACCACAGGAACAACTTGTGCATTTCTACTTTGACATTTGTGATGCGCTTATTGTAATAAACACATCAACATATTGTTTATTCTGTTGTAATAACAGAGTCAGTGTGGCATTTCCCAGAACATCAGCCAGCTCAAAGGTGGACAAATGAAAGCCTGTGTGTGACATTTACAGAATAGGAATGGAATGTGAAGCCCTTTTATTATAAACAATTCTGAAGTCCCCAGCTAATACCAGCTCACACACTTTAAAAAGTAGAAAAATGAACATCCATGTGGTGCTACAAGGCGTGGTCTGTGAGCTGCATATGGCACTGTCAACAGGAGGAAATGTAGCTGCAGGTTCATGAACACCTGCAACATGTATACTAATGTATGTGCAAAAATACACACAGGAAAAAAACAAACATACATGTTCTGACTGATGTCAGATTAAAAAACAAGGGTCTGCAACTTTTACAAAACCACCTACCTACAAAACCAACACAGTGCGTGAACTCACAACAAATTACAGTATGACTTTATGCTGGCCCACAAAAATATTTTGGCCCCATAAAAAATTTCAGCCCCCCAAAAATTTATATATTTTTTACAGTTTTACTAATAAAAAATAAATTAGGATTTATTGAAGAATTTAACATTTT